CAACTATCCGTAATAAGATCAATCACAACTATTTCTTCATTTAATAAAATCACAAGTGATTGAGGATCATCACGAGCTACAAAAAGGAAACAAAATTTTATTGCAAGATTTAGTTTATTCGTAGATTAACATACAACCATCACTTGATAATTTGTCAATAGTAAAAAAATCAATAACTGGCGTTGTAAAATCAAAAGTAACATGTCGTGTTCGTTCATTATTATGATCATGTTCATTTTCAGATAAACAACTAACACTATGTTTATTTGAATAACTTGAACGAGGTAAGCCACCGGCAAATATTATTAAAGAATCACCACTTTAAATAATGAAAAATAAATAAATAATAATACTAATAATGATTACAAATGAAGAAAAAAATGCAAGATAATTAACTTTGATATTTAATACTTTGTTTTCTATGTGTAAAGACACACAAATAAGCTACAGCTTCACAACTTTCAATCATTATTTGGGCAATTTTATTAGAAACATATTTGTTTTTTCAAATATTGAAATATTATTGACAAACGAAGCACCAGAATAAATTTCATCGTATAAGTTAAAACTTGACATTGTAATAGAGATTGACTGTAAGTATAACCCACTATTTATATAGACTATTTTATCTGTAATCTTAATTTATAAAGACCTACTACTTAGTACAACTGCAAGATACGAAGTCACAAGTTGAAATGAACTTAATAGGAAAAGCTTTCAATGAAATATATTTGAGAAAAGTTTTGCATAATTTCTGTACTAAACAGACATCATGCTTAAAAACAAGAATAAATCATATGTGTTTTGATAATTGAAATAAACATTTTCTTTATTATAGTGACATAAAAAAATGAAATGAATATCCAAGTGAGTTGATTGATTATTCTGATGCAATCTTATAACACACCTATTGGTCTAATAATTTGTAATATTAGAGAAATTTATTTCTCCTTCAAATCATGTGCAAAGTCCGAAGTAAATTCTATATATTCTTAGATTATAACTAGTGTCTCGCACAGATATGAATTTTTGCAATCACAACCGTATCCAGATAAGTGTACTCGGTATCCAATTGAAGCTTATTAACATCGGAGAGATACATTCTGTAGTTCCAGCATGATTTTCAAACTTTTATTTAATATGAAAAAGTATACTATTGAGTTTCTTCTATAAACAACAACAAAAAGAAGAGATCATCTTAAATTGTACAAAACAAAGCAAGTGAATCAAATGATTCAGGATTCAATTGATGTCTTTCTACATCTAAAATCCGATCAATTTAGTTAAGTATATGTTTGCTTGTTGCCGATGGTGTTAGAATGGAATTCAGTGTGAATGCCTAGCGTCGTAATTATGGATAAATACATGAATGCTTTTTCTATGACGATAGTACATATCCATCTTTTTTATCATTCATGTTTTTCTCCGTGTACTCAGTTACTTCGTCATATGATTCATCACCATTTGTGAATCAAATTTTTTTGAAACTTTGAGATCTCATTAATTGCCGGATCGGATTCGAGTATGATTCATTTACTTGGACCCATGCTTCGGTTCCGTCTAGGTGTCCGTTTGGGTTGCAGAACACTAATTAAAATCTTTCTAACTAATTTTCATCGACTCAAAAAAAAAACAATTATTAACTTACTTTCGCATAATTTTAACGCAAATTTTAGTCATTGGTGTACATGGATAAGGTCCATATGGAATTTTTTCCGTTTCAACTATATTTAATTGTTGTTTTGCATCCCACAATGCATAACTTCCATTATTATGGCATGTAGCAAAATTCATACCTTTATTATACCAACAAACAGATTCGACTTCCTTTCAAAGAAAAAAAAAACGAGAGATTTAAATAAGTTCTTCGAAAAAAAAAAAATTAAAACCTACTTGTTTATAAATATAAGTTCGATCATGACTATTCGATGGTAAATCCCAATGAACAATAAGTGTATTTTTATATCCAATTAATATTTTATCTTCGTTAGTTGGATGTTGAACAATTGATTGTACAGGACCTGGATGAATTATACGACCACTACAGTATTGAACAATTCTAAAGTAAATCAAATGAATTATTCAAAAAAGAAGATGCTTTAATCTTTTTTTTTCTAATGAAAATCAAATAAAACATTTCCTTGCAAGAATTATTTATTCTGATTCATTTATGAAATGATTTATATGTATACACTCGAGAATTTTTATTCTCTTACGTTTTTTCAATAACATCAGTTGAAATAATTGGAATAATATTAAGTGAAAAATTTTCAATATTAAAAGAATAAATGTTTCCATCATCAAGACCAATTAATAGATTCAAATGATTTCTTAATAAACATATTGTTTGTGTATTTTTAAGTATAATTGAATCATCTTCACTTGATGTACAAGTACGATCAATTCGTACTGTACTATTTGATGAAAAATCATTTATTGATGGATTATAATTATTTATTTCAAGTAAATGTAAATAACCATCAGTAGTTAAAACAAGAAGTCGTCCAACTCTATCAAGAAATATTAATTTACGAATTGATGATGATGATAAATTTGGATCAAGACTATATGACAATTGAAAATTAGGCTGGCCATAACTAGGAAAAAAACCAATAACACTTGATAATGACTTTTAATCATATAGAAAATCTTACATTCGTATTTCACCCGTATGTGTACCAATCGCAATTAGTTTTAATTGAGAATCATAAGCAAGTGCTGATGGTCGTGAAGGAAAACCACGAACACAAATCTAAATAAACAAACCCATATGAATGAGAAAAAAAGTAATTACATACTTACTTTATTTAATCCGAATAATTCCTTTTGAAGACGTCGACGAGCTTCATTCTCTTCAGGTTGTTTATGTCCAAGTTTAAACTTGAACATATCTTTTCTTGTTTAGATAAATAAAAGAAAAAGATAGAAATTTTGAAAATATCTAAAACAAAAAAAAAAGATATATGACTCATATTACAATTGAAACAACGTTTGATTATTTCCGTTCTTTTACTCATTTTCTTTCCAAGAATGAAAAAATGACTGAGATCAATATTAAAAATTAACACAATTTGATACGCGATGTAAGGTGAACAACAGATGTTTATTTATTCTTTATAATGAATATAATAGAATGAAAATAATGTTGATGGTGACACATGTATCATGAAATTAGGGCAGCAGTAACAGCAGTCATCACTCTAATTAATGTCAATGGCTAGAACATCGACAGCAGTGAAAAAAAAATGGATAAACTTTTTACATGTTTGTTCTTCTTTCGCGTGCACGTTGTTCCATCTATTCTTCATCGACCAATAGCCATGACATGAACATATAACGCCCAACACTGAACCGGTCAAACGGTCATTCTCTCTTTCTCTTGCTCTCCCTCCCTGTCTCCCTCACTCTTCCTCTCTTTCAATGAACTATTCGTACGACAAAAAAGGTATTAAGAATGTTGAATTGAATAGCGTGAAATCAAAAAGAAAAAGAAATAGAAATCGACGCATGCCATAAATTATTAAGACTAAGTAGAAAAGAAAATGATGTGTCATCATCTTACCTGCTTAATCATACTTGCAATAGTGTGAATGCGTTTATGACTAATAGAAAGTCTTTAAAAATGAGAACACAAAAAAAAGGAAATTAATTAGTTGTTTTTGTTTCGGATACGTGATGCATCAATTCATTGATTGTAGTTATAAGATGATATCCGGTGACAGACAGACTAGTAAGATTTATCTTATCCGATCGAACTATCAATAAACACTAATGGAAAACAAAGAAAATCTATCTTAATAATCGATAAAGAGGATACATAGGATAAGAACAAACATTCTGATTAGAATGCATGCTCTATATGTTGAAAGGGCACATCGTCTTCTAATCTTGGATATAGTAAGATTGCCAATGGAAACGCAATAGATACATACATTAAAAAGACAAAGAAAGATAAAAAAAAATGTGAAACAAGATACTTGGCATATTCACATCTCGAACGAGTTTAATGATGAGATAGATAGATGAAACCAAATGTCAATCAATCTTATATCTTATTATGATTTCTTTTCAATTCACGTACATACTTATACGGATATGCACTGAAGAATAGACAACTTCGAAAATATTTTTTTAATGATCAATATTCAAATGAAAATATTATACAAGATGACTAAGTAAATTCTTTATATTCTTGCTATTACGGCATATTTGTTCATTCAGGAATCAGAGCGACAAGCACAAGGGAAGATCAGTACCTAAAAGTTCAACACGCAAAAAAATGAAAGTAAATATGACGTGTACTAAAAGATCAATAAATGTATATAGGTGTGGGTGTGAGTGTTAGTTTTCTTTTCAATCTTATCCGCATTCGTATACACACCCACATCCTTTACCAACATTTTGCTTTTGCATGTTTAGCTTTTCGATGCTGAACATTCCCATCCTCATCGTTCATCAATCCTTTCATTCAGATTAAAAAAAAAGAAACTTGTTTAATCTCGAGAAACATCAATTCAAGACTTATATATATATATATAATATATGCTTTTAAGGCAATGAAATTGCTATTTTATAATTGCTTGCATTTTATAAAAACAGCTTTTTTTCTTATTAGAATAATACAGATATTTTGAAAAACTGAGAATGAGGGAAATGTTTTTTTAATATTCAAGATATTTTAAATTCTAAGAGATAAACACCTTTTGCACAATAAACATCAAAATTTTAAATTAACTGAAAGATGAAAAAAACAAAACATTTTTACATTTATCCAGATGATAAAGAAATTTGTAATTTTAAAGAACTCTTGATGTCTATCACGTCAATTATTCAAATCCTAATATCTATAAGTGAGAACAACAAAGCCAAATAAAAAACACGAAATAAGACTTCATCTGTATTTAGAATGATAATAAAAAAAAAAGAACGAAGTAACAACACAAGAATGAAAATCTCGACTAAGTTGTCAATTTAAGTTCAATAATTTTGAATTCGATCATTTATTCTGTATTGCGTCTAGAATGCAAGAAAAAAAAAATTGATTGATATAATCAAAAAAGAAAACGTACAGTAATGGTGCTAAACTCCAATCAGGTTGGACTTCTTTAGCTTTAAATTCAACACCATCTTTTGTTACAATACAAACACGATACTAGGAAAAAAAATCAATATAAAGAACCATATATATTTATATATTTCAATAAGATTATCTTACGCGAGCAAATGCTCGACAATCACGGTAAAAAAGTTGTTTTATAATACGATCCATTAAATGTTCAGCTTGATCTTTATTAAGTTGATTCGAATTTTCAAGAATTGTTCGAATCCAACCCTAAATAGACGAATATATATATATATATATACATTTAGAAAATTATTCCATAATAAGAAAAAAATTCACTTGAGCCAAATGATTTGCAATACCAGTCATGATTAAAAATTCTTTAAAAGCTGAACCTTTATCATTAATACGTCCAAGAAATCTATGAACAAAAAAATAATAAATTAAAGAAAGAAGCTGTGGAATTAATTCTTTTTATATACGGTTCATTATTTTCTATTCCAGCTACTACAACACTTGTTAACAATGGATTTAGTTTTGTTCGTCGATGATACATAAGTCGAGTACACCAAGCATAAAGAGCCAATGGTGTCATTTCACTTCCATCTTCTTGAACAAGATCTTCCTCACTTTAAAAAAAACACATACATTATAAAAAAAACTCAATTCCAACTCGTCAACTTACACTTTAGCATCAATAGCTTCTTTAATATAATCAGCATCAGATAAATCTCCACCAAGTGCCAAAATAGTACGATCATTAACTTGATGAATACGTGGTAGATTACGGTATTTAGCTAAAGAACCATATGAACCAAGTACATCAGCAGCTAAAATAACACCACCATTGAATACAAATGCTGCTACTGATGAACCAGTTACGATTGGTGTACTAGAAAAATAAAATTAATGGAATTATTTATAAGATTTATATTTAAACTAAGGTTTTGAGAGAAAATTTTTTTTCGAGTCCCAAATTCCATTTATCCCACCGGATGAGAGATATTCAAGATTTGAGACTATTCGATAGAACTCTAATTTAAACTTACACAGTACGTGTACGAAGATTTCGTTCAGCTTCGGTTTCCAATGGATTAATTGTATAATTTTTATTTGAATTTCCAATATTAAAATCATCTTTATCATTAATTGAATCATAATTTGCTTCAAATGGATTAAATGTACTGATCATTTTCCTTTTTTCTGTTTTTTGTTAATCAATTATAATCTAGAAAAAAAGAACGCAAAGAATAGTATACATATATGACATGAATAATGTGAGGGCTCGAACAAAAAATAATCAATCAATAAAAGCGACTGAAACACCGGCAAACATATAATTGAACGTATGTATTTAAAAAAACAGTGAAAGACAAAAAACAAAAAAAGGAGAAACTGTCAAGTTAACACTTCGACAAGAAAATTCAAAAGCCATAAAAATATATTCCAAAGTAAATGTTGCTTATCTTCTTCACCTTCGACAATAATTGTTGAAGGTTTTTTATTTATTTGTGATGTTTGCTGTTCGTGTGTTGATTTATATGATGTATCATCATTTGATTGTTCGATAGTTGTTTCATCCGCGGATAGTTTTATATCAACTAATTCAATAAGTAGACGATAATGATTTATTTGATATTGTGAATAACCATATATACCAATATAAATTGGCCGTTTCACATTATAATCGATAAGAATTTCATCAATACCACATGTACATGAACTATATTCATAATTATCATATGTAACATATTTATTACGTGTTGATATATATAAATCGGCATCACCACGCAATGATATTAAAATAAAACGATATGTACCAAGACTATTAAATGTAAAATAGGAAAAATTTGATGGATGAATACGATCATCATGCATCGATACATAAGTTCGATTTGGTGCATAAATATTTGCTAATAAATCTTGTTCATGCTTATAAGATGCTTTATTCAATTTTGATTCATCAACATATTCGTCATCATTTGATTGCCATTCTTGTTCAGTATTTGATTCAGTTTTAGTGTCATCATTAGTAATTGTTGAATCAATTGTAGATCGTTGATAAGCAAAAGAAAATGATGATAAAGAAAAAAAGATAATATAAAAAATGAATGATGAATAACGACAGACGATCATTGCCTGTTTTAGAAAAAAAATTTGGAGTGTATTAAAATAATCACATAACAGTGGACTAAATAGAAAGTAGCCAAAGTAAAACAAAAAACATTCTGTTGTTTTGTAACCTTTAAAAAACAATTTAAATAAATGATTGGTTTATTATTAGTTTCCTGCAGATGTCTTTAGCATAGTGTTATATTTGATTGGCGAAATAAAAATGTTTAGGCAGTTGTAAATTTTGCTTGTCTTCAAACAAGGATCGACTATGTCGGAAGAAATTCTATCATCAGTATAAAAGAAAAAGAAATTTACTTAAAATATTTTTTCATTTATTTAAGTGTCTCTCTTTTTAGCCAACGAGAACAAAACTTCCTTTACAAGGCGTTGTCATTTTTGTTAGTCAACAATTAGTGACTAATAGATTGGCTTTACATCAGCAATGTACAGCACTTGGTGGAAAATTTGTTTGGGTATTCGATGTACCTTTTACTCATTATATTTGTCAAGTTGGTGACGTCTTTTTATTACTAAAATGAAACATAGAAAAATATTTGTCTTTTTTTCTCTTTCTAGGGAAAATTGAGTAAAAGAGGAAAAGAATATAAAAAAGCTGAAGAATATAGAGCACTATGTGTACATCCAGCATGGCTTAAAGCTTGTCAAAAGTTTGGACAACGTGTAGCTGAAAAATTATATGCTACTACGTATGATCCGAATAGATCTTTGGTAAGCAGCCAAAAAAGGATCATTGATTCTTTGAATAAAATCAATTGGATTTTAATCATTCAAGTTGTTTCATTTTCTTGTAGACCTTTATTTCTGTCGGTGATGATGATGATAATGAAGACGAAGAAAATCATATGCCCTCATTAACAACAATGAAATCTACTTCTTCTTTAAAACTTATTCAAACTTCTCGTATTGTGCCAATTATCAACAAGAAGCACAAATATCATATTACTACACATGCTCCTACTATTGAAATGTCATCACCAAAAGTCATTCCATCTATTCCGAAACAATCATCACAAGTTTCTACTGAAGCTGAAACAATGCTCAATGATCTTCAGTCATCTTTAGCACAATTTCTTAATAATAATAATAATAATAGTAACAGTAATGCATCCATATCTCGTCCATCAATAACTGATGATGAACAAAATAAAAAATCACTTAAAATAATTCGATCAATAAGTAATATTAATAATAATAATAATAATAATAATAACAATGGTACAGGTATCGAACCATCGATGCGTGTCGAATGGCTCGATGATGCAATGCAAGCTGAACGCAAGAAAATGGTAGATGAAGATGAACATGGTGTTAGTAGTCAACAACAATTGTTATGCGGAGAATCAAAAATTGGACTCAAACGGCCACTAGTCGACTCTAATTTCGATCAATCTTTTAATGCAAAAAAATGTCGGACATAATTTTAATTAATAATGTATAAACAAGTTAAATGTCAGATTCAGAAATATTTTATATATATATTGTTTGTTTTATTAATGAAAAAAAGACAGATTGATAATAGATTTAGTTAGATAAAAACGAAAAAGTAATGTTTACACGATCCTAATTATTTAATATTCATTAGTAGTGCATGATCTGAAACAATACATTGATGAAGTCTTTGCTTATTTATTACAATTAGTTTATTATAGTTAGACATCGAATGCTTAAATATTTAAAAGCGATGAAATTTGATTACATCAATAGATATAATCAGCCATAGACAATAAATGAACGAGTAGAATAAACAACGAAAAAGATAATTACAACATTGAAGATGAAATATACGTAGAGTATACATTTCAATTTATAATAGAATCGTTGTAAGAAACTCATACCAAAGCACCTTACGATGTACACTACAATAAACTTTTATTTGCTAATATTTATTTCATTTATATTCTCATTTACAGACATTGAAAGATGTTAAACAACATTGCTCATAAATGATAGAATTATCCACTGAATCATTTTATGATGAAATAGAACCATGCAAATGTCTTTGAGAAGAATTGAATTTTTTTTACTATCCATCAAAATTAATCAGGATGAGTTATCATTGTGTTGTACCAGCTCTAGAGGCAATACAGAAAATAGTGGTCCGATTGCTCAAGAACCAAACACTATTTATGAATTACTATTGTTGTAAAGTGTTCGACACCAAGAAAGTGTTGCGTGCCCCTGTCTAGTAGCACGCATTTATAGATTGTGCCGGCATATTCTTCGTTCTTTTACTTCAACGCAAATAAAGAGGTACTGAAGCATCTGTTATAGCTGATATCGTACAGTGCTGGTAACTTGAATATACAAAATACTTATGATGAACGCCAAATAGCTTATGAAGAATATGCTAAAAAAAATGCAAAGCAGTATGTTAGTAACACAATGAGCCAGAGATCTCATAATGTTCGAAGACTGGATATCGAGAAGATAGGAGTCGCGATATCCATCAAAGTGAATCCCCAAAATTGATACCCTATCTCTAAAAAGTGAGGATTTTGAGTGAATTTGGTGTAATGAGATGGATACCCACATCCCAAAAAGTGGAAATTTTCAGTGAATTTGAAGAGAATATGTGACTAGTCATGCAATCTAACTTTGCACTATTCTGCAATACTTTTGGTTGTATATAGTACCAAATAAAATATGTCGTTATGTACAGAGAGGTTCCATGAAAGGTGCTCTCGCGACAGTTGCGCCCCAGCGACATTTGCTCTCGAGGCCCAGATCAAGCCCAAATCAAAACCGAAACTCACTCTTTGTCTTGCCCTCTCCCACACCGACATCCCAATCCCCATCTACGCCCTCACCCTCACTCAGACTTGCGCCTACACCCTAAACTATTTGGGGAGCAAGTGTCGCTGGGGAGCAAGTGTCCGGGGAGCACCATTCGTGTTACCGTACAGAGAGTCTCATCTTATCTTAACGGAGAACTTTGTTTATTTATCTTTGATAAGAAAAACTATTCAACTGCCCATTGTGGGCTTTACTGCCGTCAAGTTTTTCTTATCTTGGAAACATTTCCTATACTTTTTCTTTCTTGTTTTGTATCGCTTTAGNATGTTTTGAAAATTTTTGCCCTGAATTCAGTTTTCTTCATATAGTATCGTAATATATCAAGAAGTGCGCTGTTTTCAATAAGATCAAACTTATTTTCAGATCTACGATCGATAGAAAATTTCTAGAGATTATTGAAATTATTGACAATTTTTAAAAAGTTTTATATTTTTCAGTTTATCAAATGATCTATTATCTAATTAAACTTTTTACCAATTATGTGTAGCTTGAGTTTGAAGTGAAAGAGAATTAAGTAATTAAAGAGATGCTCCACTGACATTTTTACCACCGACGATAGATTAAACAATTTACGATTTGAGAAAAAAATCTCGTTTTGTTATAGTCTCATAAATGACATTTACGAAAGTTTTTCGAAATCTTAAATGAACGAGTAATAATACTTCTATTATCTCTATAGCTGTAGCATTCAGTTTATCTTTTACAAACGATTGTTATTTCTAGAAAAGGATCAAGAAAAATAGTTTACATGCTAATTAATGATCGTCAATAAAGCAAATCGAATGGATCGAAAATTTAACGGTCAGTGTTTACTAGCCATTTGAAGAAGTAATTAATTAAGATGATGACAAAGATCCGGATATCCTTTTGCATAAAATTTTTTCAAATAACACGAAAGTCTCATGTAACCTCTCACGAAAAATGAATTTTCTTATCATATTTTTCATCCATCGATATCGACAGTTAATTCTCTTATATTGAGTTTTGTATTTGTGTACGATTACCTCAATAATCAGTTAAATAATCAAAGTTGAAGAAATTCTTGTACAAAAATGGATATATGATTAGTGAAAAGAAGTTCAAAGTATATGACCGAGTATTCGACAATCGAGAAGCTGGTATAGTGAATATTCACTGGTTACTCAGGAACTTTCGGGTAACTAATGATCTATTAACATAGTTATTCAACAACAATAACTGGCCACTCCCAATAACAGCTGATTTGAACACAATTTAATATATACATATGCACATATTCACTTATTAAAGTTTTATGAGTAACTATAAATTGGTCACATGACGCATTGAAAAACAACTTTTTTTTAGTTCCTCAGTAAGACATTCTTTTGGTAATCATGACTATCGGAAAATATGATGCATAACATAATTATAAGAATATAATAGTAACATACTATATACAAAAGCGTTTTATAAGTTTTGGATTTTACATTACACTCTTTACAGTAATGTTCTACTTTGGTAGAAGAATGATTTAAATAAATTTACTATTCATTTCAGAATTGTTCCATGTATGGTATCATTGATTTTATTCATAAAACGAAAAATAAGGATAATATGAATATCGATATAAAAGAAAACATAAAGTTGTTTCTTAACCATTGTAAATACTTTAATATAATACTTTCGCATAAGAATGTAGACTTCGATCCATAACAATAAGAAAATGAAAGATGGAAATAGAGAAAAAGAAACTAATCGTAAAATTTACTTGGCTGTTTAAAAGCAATTGAAATCGACCCATCATTAAGTCAAGTAGAGTTGTTGAAATTTTCAATTGTTACATAATTGGCTCTGCACAGCTAAAAATTGGTTATATTAAAATAGTATGAAATGTTTTATTTCAAAACTTAATACGTACTTGTTTAGAGTACATTGTTTTCGACAGTGATGATAATCACTTGGATATAACGATCGAACAAATGGATTATATGGCGTTGGCAAATCGTATCTGCCAATTGCTCCATTTAAAAATACTGTAGTATTATGATTACTGAATAAAAATGGATACGGTTGCTTGTAATCACTCCAAATTCCGCTCGATCTCAATATTCGATCAATTCTTTGATTATTTATCGCTTCAGTTTCTTCACCTGAATCTAAATAGATTCTATCAAACAGATATTCTTTAAATCGTTCGATATTTACCAAGAGAATAAGTTGTAGTAGGAGATTCATTATAATCGGAGTAAGTTGGAATATGTAGACCAAATGACGATGATTCTACAAGAAACAGTTTCGATGAATACTGATCAAATACATTCTGTAAATCAATAGGGGAAGATTTCAAAGAGTTAGATTGTGAATTTTATGAACGATAATAAGTTGAATCGATTGTACTTTGTAATAGCGTAAGCAGTAGTTGGTCAAGGACTCCTAAAATGATTCAGTAACGAATATTACGTCATCACTTTAGAGGTCTTCGCTTACCCACTGCTTACATCACTAGTAGTCTGTGTTGTTAATTAGTGTATTGATAGAGTTTGTGGAAGAGATGAAATTGTGCAAGGTTTGTTATAAATGTTTCTCAGTGTTAATATCAAAAGAAACATTAGTATTATTATGTTTTGCATTCATATTCAACAATGAAATTGACACCATTATCTGTAAGGTAGAAATTTTATGTGTCAAGCTATTCTTTTTCTTAAATTTTATATGATTAAAAATAAAATTTCTACAGTATATGCGTAAAATTACGACTTATAGATCGAGAAAATTTCTAGTTGAATAAATATTTCGAATGTATATAATACAAACTTCTGAATACCTACTTAAATCTCGTTTATCAATGAAACTTGAAGGTGTTACTGCTTGTGATCGATCACTTGGAATTTGCTGAAGAGCAAGACACTGATTCGATCGATGATCAAGACGAGGCGTATCATTTCGTGACAGTGGTTGAGACTTGTATCTATATGGCCGTATTATTGTACTTGGCATACAATCAACGACTTCAAAATATCTCATTTGATTTGTCTTTTCATCCATATATTGTACATAACGGCATTCTGCACGTTGTGCAAATTCAACAATAAATTGTTTTCCATTATGTTCAACTATGGAACGATTAGGTCGAAATGATGAAGTATAATGATTTTTCAAACATCTTGGATCATTTCGGTTCATAGTAGACCGAGAAATAACAACAGCCTCACCAATCATTGTTTTGCTATGTTTAGGTAATTCAGATGTATCCAAATGAGAAGTACTTCGTTGAATTATTTGTTGCTGTGGCTGTTCTTGTTTGAATTTCTTTTCTGTCGGTTCATTGACGACAGGGAATGAAGTTGTCGGTTCAGTAGATGATAATGCATTTAGCTACAAAACTCATCAAAAACATTAGTATGAAGCTATAGGAATAAACAAAATTTTTACTTGCTGCACTGTTTGAATCGGTTCTGAATGGTTATTTACAACCGATGGTTCGCGTGGAAGAGTAATAATTGCATTGTTACTTTGAATTTTGTTTTGTGAAACACGCGTAGGAACAGGAATCTATTCATTCACAAAATCATTAATATTACTAACAGTATCCAAACTTCTTATGACTATAAATTCTAGCATGCATGATCTGTTTCAAAGTCAACAGTATGCAAGATCTATAAAAGTTATACTACGTACGTAGTACGTTGGAACTCGATGAAAAAATTGAGTTTGATTTTAGTATATATATATATAGGGTATACGAAAAGTTATCACCACTTAATAAATACACATAACATTGCTACTGATCAAGCTTAATTAAAAACTTTCTTCTATTTGATATAAGAGACTAGTAAGTTTTAATTGGTAAAGACCGAGCTCATTAACCGTATGGGACAGATAACATATTCAGCTACAATTTAAAACTTATGATTTTTTCAATGCCATGAAGAATATGCAGGCCTGTTTTTAATTTTTTATCGTAACTTTATACACATTTATTTATATATATATAGATTCTTACGAGAACGAAACAAGACAGTCAATTGTAATGTCAAAAATGAGTTCTAAACTGATATGGCGTACTCATTTCCAAGACTTTCAAAGTTTTCGAGGATTTTTATGAACGAATTAGTATGAAGAAATGCATCAATGACTCAATCATTTTTAAATATGTTAAACAAATCATGAAAAGCAATAATAAAAGATCTGCATGATCTAAAGCTCACGATACCGATAGAAATTGCAGTAGAATCCGAAATAACAACGATGTATATTCTTCGTAGCATCGAAAAAAGCCTAATTTTTAAACTGCAGTCAAAAATGTTACATTTTCTACACTATTGATGAACTTGATTTTTAAGAATAAAAACTTACTACGCTTCTATTTCAAATAGAAAAAAAGTTTTGATTAAACTTGGCCAATAGCTTTAATACGCATAAATAAATACTTACCGAAAGTGCGTCACTAAGTGGCTCTTGTACGATATTATTCTTTACGTCAAATATTGGCATACTAATCGATGTTCGAGGTTGATTTGCAAGAACAGGATTATAATCATTGTGCGAACTGTGACATATACATACATGTTGTGTTTCAATAAGTATCTTATCAATAATATTGTCTTTATGTTCTTGATAATACTGATAACAGTATGACTCACCTGTATGTTGTGCCCATTTATTGTTTATCTTCTATTTCGCTTTTCATAACCACCAAAAAAAAATATAGAAAAGCTCAAAAAAAAATCATTCGAATCACCTATTTCACGTTATCAGTATCCTATGATGTTTCGCTCTATTGACTTTTCTTATCTGAACATAGTATATTGGGTGGCGAATGATGATGGTTGACTTTTATGCTTCTTGCTATAATATAACGATACGAACGAAAAAAGAAAAAGAAAAGCGAAAAAAAAATAATAGTAAAAAAAAAATGAAAACAAACAGACGACAAATCTGTACAACCACACACATATATAGTATATATATATCGCAACTATACATAATAAACAGTACTACAGATCAGTAACTGAAGCGCGCATTAATGTTGTTGAATTAGTTGATGTTGATGTTTTATGATGAAAACCATTTGATATCAATATTGGTTTTGTATTAATGACTGTTGGTGATTTATGTGGAACAGTTCCACGAGGATTGGATATAACTGAATCCGTATCAGTACTTGATGATGAAAATGAATTACATCGTCCATTATGACGACGATCAGGTGAAATAACAAGTGGTATAATACCACAAAAACCATTGGTTGAACGTGAATTTGCACTACTATTTGATGATGATGATGAACTAGATGATGATGAACATGATGCTGCACTTGAAACAGCTGATGATGATGTACTTTGTATGCGTGGAGGTGGTGTTGGTTTAGTTTTTTTATTTATACAAATACCATTTGTTGATAAATATGAATCAGTTGAATGATCACGTGAATTTGTTGAAGATTTTCCGTTTGTTATTAATTGTTGAGAAAATGTTACTTTTGTTGGTTGTTTCATTGATGTTTGTGGACGAGTTTTTGTGTCATTTATTATGACTGGTGGATTTGTTGGAGAGATTACTGCTTGACGAACAATAAATGAAAGTGATGGCGATGGACAATTATTTGATAGTGCTGTTGAATCTGTTGTTGATTGTATTGAACATATACTTGTTCGTGTACTTGATGATAGTAAAATTGAATTTGTTAAACTTCGTGTATCAAAATATTGTCCTGAATCATGTCCATTCATCTAAAAAAACAAAATTTTTTATATTAATAAAAATATGTAAACTATTTATACTTGTTCCGATGTGTATTTCATTTGTTTGAGTATATCCAGTTGATTTGCATAATGTAAACGACGTTCTCGTAATTTTTCTGCTTTCTAAAAATGGGAATAAACGTTGATTTCTTTTCCTTTTTTTTCTAAAAATGTTACAATTAACCTCAATAGATTTTACTCGACCATCAGAATTTTGTGAGACTGATTCTATCTGTTCTAATAAACGTTTACGATCAACTGATTTTCCATTTGAACCAAATGAAAATTGGCATCGTGGTTTTTGTGATACTGCTTTTTGTTCTTGAGAAACAGCTAACCGTTTGAGTTGATAGAGCATTGTAGTTAAACGTTTACATTTTTTAATTGTATAATCAAGACGTTCGGGTTCTTCATGTAAAAATCTAATTATAAAAAAAATAAAAAGAAACATGAAAAAAAAGATGTCCATAGAAGTTTTACTTCTGATCGTCATTTAAACTTGATTGTTGACCAAGTGAAGAAATTTTCTCACGTAACACTGGAAATGAAGCTTTCAGGAAAAAAACGGAAAAAACTTAATTTTAATTGTGATTTATTACTAAATTGCTTTTACCTTTTAGATCGACTAATGAACGACTAATGGTACTCAAAACTAAAGCAAAACTTTCAACATCATTCATTGTTACATAACATTGTTTAGATTTAACATCATTTTGTAATTCTTCCACTGATGCTTCTAAATCTCTATTATTTATTAAAAAACATTTAATTAAGTATAAAAATAATTAAATTTAATCATACTCTAAATCTCGATCAATTTTTGTACTATTTATCATGTATAAATCAAGTTCATTTTCAACAGTACGACATTGTTCTGAACGTGTTTCAATTCGATATAAACGTGAAATGTAATCCTAAAAGCAAAAACAATTTATATCATTAAATAAGACACATTTTTTGTCAATGGATATACTTCTATTTTTTTATTAGCATCTTCTAAGTGTATTTTGAAATTCTCTTGTAATGACTGTTGCATACGTCGTATTGATATTAAATCATTACGTAATGTATGGGTTTTGACTTTCAATTCATATAGTTGTTGACGTAATGACTTACCATTAATGTCTACAAAAAAAAAGATATCAGCTAATCAAATCATCAAGGCGGATCTAGGATTTTTGTTCAATGAGAGTGTTTCAATGCAAAACGGAACGATCCATAGTCATGAAACGTGTATTAGAATCAAATTAGAGGTTTTATCGGCTCATTTTCTGCTGTTTTCCACTGAGGAAAATAGTTCGGAAGGAAGGAACGATCACCTCCCAGCTCAATCTGTCACTACAAATCACAACCAAGGAAATAGAATTGATCTTTTTTCTTTCATTTTGCGATATGTTTGTTCTAAAATGACTCGTACTCTTTTTCTTTCTCCTATATTCAATATGCTGCGAGCAGGAAATGACATCATCAGGTAGAAATTAATCAATAACCTAACAGGCATTAACCTTCATTATTCCCTTGAAGCTTTTTTGTTTAATAATCAATCGATAGAATACAAATTATTAAAACGCAAACTTTTTTTTCCGTGAAATACCTCTATAGATTCCTGTTCTTGTTGATAATTGTTGTTCATTAAGAGTTCGTTCACGAGTTAATTCTTTAACAAGATCAGTTAATGATTCAAGTTGTTTTTCCATCCAAGCCATTTTACTACTAGAGACAATTGTTATCATATTTAAAAGAAAAATATTTATTATTACCGAGCTTCATCATCACCAACTCGAGGTGTTGTCGGTGTCGTTGAACCACTTCTTGGCGATGATGTGATAGCCTTTGGAGCTAAAAAAAAATAAAATATAATTGATAGATATCATATACAAAAAGATCTTTAAATCTTTTCACTAACCCATTAAATTCGAATTTGTAGATGTTTGATTATTAACAATAGATATTGTTTCTTTAGTAGCTGATCGACGTCTTGGTTCACTAAGAGAACGAGATGAAGAAGTATTAGATGATATTTGTGGATGTGCTGGTATCGATGATGTTGATTTATCTTCGTTTGATTCATTTCTTGATGATGTTGATGGAATAGATGTTGTTGACGGCATACGACCGAGACGACTTAAACGTTGATAAGTTATTTCACTTGCAAGTGTTGGACGTGATGTAAATGGAACATAAATAGATATGTCATCAGATTCGGGTTGTTTAAATGAAACTTGTGTTTTATTATTATTATTATTATTCAATTGAACGACTTTTAGGACGGAACGATCTTTGACATCACTATATGAAAAGGAAAATTTTTTTTTATAGTCACTATTGACATTTTACAATTACAGGTGACATATTACCTCATATCTTCTAATTGATAAAAAATATCTTTATCAGGTTCACGTATATAAATCCGTACATCGTCAGTATCCATATGTTTCATTGTTAGATGTTGCGGAAATGCCCTTTAAATAGAGACAATGAGAAAAAAATCTCGTGATATAAAACCGGATGAAGACAATCCTTTTTCTCTTTGTAATCATCATTCTCTTTTCCTTTTTTTATCCTTTATTCTATCGGCTTTTGTCTATGATAATGAGAAACTATCGAAAAAAAAAAGAAAAAAAATAGTTACCGAACAAAAAGTGCTTTGAGAGTGTCAACGCATGAAATGTAGGATGGTAATAGAACTTTTTTTGTCTCATCACCGCATATTAAAAAGCAGAGGCCTAAGAAAAAAAAACAATAGAAAAAATTTTTTTTTTATTGTTCTACTCTGATTAAATAATAATTTACCAAGTGAATTTGATTTTGAATTATTTGTTGCAGGTTTTATAATGAATGGAAGACTTGAACGGACACGTTGACCACGAGTAAAACCTAACAAAGGAAATTTTTACATTAAGAAACTAAGATTTGCTTTCTTTTCTATTCTATTATGCTGACCATTTCTAGTTCCTGTCGTTAATTCATCTTCAATTGGATCAGTTGATGATGAACGTTGATGAGGTGAATTTGTTCGTGGCTATAAAAAGTAACATAGATGTCATATTGATAATTAATCAATTTTCTTTTACCATCATTGGTGTCGATACAGCTGATGATGAAGAGGCATGTTGTCGTGGATATTTTTGTTTGAGTATATCGATGAGCATACGTTGTTGTTCATCATCATTCTGTAAATTAATATGAATATATTGAGATGTAACCAATAGTTAAGACTAATCAAACAAGGTCTGGCAAAAATATAAAAAACACAAGCGAACGAAAAGAAAATCCTCTGCTTATGCTTATTCACACACTCGAACTATCCGATTAATTCTTTCTTAGTGCTACACAATTATTATCGTTTGTAGATTGATATTCATCTATCCTACCTACATATTGCCTTCAGACAATCAGTCATACAATCAACGGTTCGAATTGCAGTTTCAAGTGTTCTGTCTATCTTCTCTCACTTACTTATTCACTCGACTCATGTGTCTGTCGAAGCCTCATCTCGTGAGTTGTATATGGGTACTATATTATGCAATAAGCATGTAGTAAACACACGAATCAATCATTCGACGAGGATGACTTCTTAATAGTTTTCTCTCTCTCTCTCTCTCTCTCTCTCGTGCTTCTTGTATCTTTATATATGAATGTGTTCAACTTCTCTTCCTCTTTCGCTCTCTTGATATGGTTGTTGTCCACTGGTGAGAAAAAAAAGTGGCTCCATTCGGGTGACTGCTATTGATAAAGTATGAAGATAAAACTTTCGATAAATCGCGTGGAACAAACAGAGGCACTATATTTCTTCTGATTAGTATTCATAACAAAACGGTTATCATCAATCGATGATGACGTTTATGTTCGATTGGTAGGAACTATTTATATTGACATTTCTCTAGAGGCTTTCACTTCTCGTTTTTGTTTTACCTTCATTGTACTTCAATGAAATAAGTATTACGAAGAATAATTTCCGACGCTGAGTAAAGAATTGTTATTTCTGATATTGTGACTATTGCTTGTCGTTCACAACTCACACGCCATATGAACTCGCCATTGCTGCGTTCTACATGCTGCCCATTCTTATGTTCTTTCTTTCTTTCTTTCTTTTTTTTCTTTTTTTTCTTCTTCTTCTCACAATTTATGATAGTTAGTAATGGACGGCGCGCCCAAGTAAATCTCGGTCAGACAAGACAATCATCTCTTCACCAAAAAAAAAATGATAATGTTGCAGAAAAAAAAAGAGAACGTGCTAACGTGCATCTAAATTAAGCAGAGGAAAAGAGACAAAGAGTGAAAGATGCCTTGATGATGATGATCAATCTCAAATTAACGAGAACTCTCGACACTTCATTTCTATCTTTCGGCCTCAGAGAAAAAACAAAAAAGAAAAAAAAATATCAATATCTATATATTCGTCTCTCTTGGTGAACAATAATAAATAACAATGAAGAAAGACGAGCGATCACAATGACAACGTATACACATACTGTTGTCTGGCTATGGCATATGCTAATGCCATACATATAAACAATACACACACGTCAGAGGTCGAAACGATGATGAATTAAAGTAAAAAAAAGGAGGAAGAAGAGAACAAAGAATATATATGTATAGGAAAACTGAACAACGACAACAATCAAATAAGTCAAAGCATTATTGAGCTTAGTACAACAAAATAAATGGACGGTGTAGGTACACAGGAGGCAAAGTAGTCAATGTCCGACGTCCCCTCGAGTGTCTTTTATCATGGTGACCAAACAGTGAGCTACTAAGAAGAAAGACAAATGTGAATACAATATGATCGGTGTAATTCAAAGGGATAGAAAGAGACAAAGAACGAACAGACATTTATATTGTAAGGAATCAAATAATTAAACGAGCATTTCTATCAGTGTATTTTCAAACTGAAAAGAAAATAATCAATGATCAGTGAAGAAAGGTTCGTTAGTCATCGTATTCTTTTTCATCTCGAACGTTTTATTAATTGAAAAAAAAAATCATCACATAGTTGTAACTAACCATTAATGACTTATCCCATAAGACATATTACTAGAAAAGATTTCTCTAGAGTACATTTTATCTCTTTGAAGAGCTCATTTGTTTCTTTTTCTTTTTATTCAAACTAAATGCGATTTCTCTTATATCGAACGTAAACAAAGACAAAAACTAACTTTTAATCTTACTTTTGAACGTATTTTATTTGTATCATTATTAACTTCAAGGCATTCATCTTCTTTGACAGATTGTAATGGTACGAAATTTCCATTTGTAATCATATTTAAACATTTACTATTATTATTCAAATTATCTTTTGTTTGTGTTCTTGATCGATCTATTGTTGATGTATCAATATTATATGTTGACTTTGATTTGGTATTATTTGTTCCGTTTTTTATTTGTGTTATTAATCCACATGATGATGATGCATCAGCTGAACGTGTCATTATTGATGTTGTATCATGACGATATGAGTTCGATGGTGTTGTAGATCGTGATGAACAAGTTGCTGTTGAAAATGATGACATTGATGAACTTGATGTACCATTCAAATTTCGTATATGACCATCATTATAATTTGATATATTTGGAGGTCGTCTTTGTTGAAGAATAGGCATATAATGACTTGTACCATTAACAAATGTTGGTGGTAATACAGATGATGAGGAATTCGGTTTAGGTTTTGGTGGTGTTTCAGCATAAATATTATTTCGTTCCATATCTGAATAATCAGGTGTCATACGTTTTGTTGAATTTATATTTTGTTTAGGTGAAACAATACACTTCATATTTTGACAAGATTTTGTTTGTTGAGAATTGTCAATTGTAGTTGATTTAGTTTTTCGATGATTTGTATTCGTTGAGTTTATAGGTGAATCTGTTACTAAAAAGAAAGAAAAAGAAAAATAGACAGTCTTAAAAATGATGACGTAAGAATGTTTGCGTGAGAAAATTGACCATTTTATACAAATGAATAACTATCATGAAAAGGAAACGAACAGTTCACTAAGATAACAACCTTATATATACTGCTGGTAAAGAAAATAGCATTTATTGCCATTTCCTTTTTTTTTTGATCGAGGCGACACATGCCTGTCGTTCAAAGCGATAAGATCGAATCTTATAGAAGCAAATTTTCCCTAAAGATTTGATCATCAGACAAAAAAAAATAATAAAATTAAATATATTGAACAATTTCTCGAACAACAACAAAAAGCCATTTTCAAAAACACTTCGATTGAAATTTCAAGTATATCAATGTATGCTTTTATTTTAACAAGACATAAGTTATTAGTACATATATAAACACTTGTAAGGACTCTTCAATAGATTTATCAACTATATTTAACATATATTAAAAGTCTCAAAATAGACAAATGACTTCATGCATTATTTTCGTTCGACCTTATTTGAAAGAAACCAACCACTAAAAAATTATATTTTATACATATATACGTGTGTATCTCTAAATTGAAATTTTTATGCAATTCATATAGTATGAATAACATGGCTGTTCACATCCGTCTAATATGTATTCATATTCAAATATATATATAACCTTCTCACATTGTATGTATATGTATACATTACTCTTTGAAGTTCGTTGTCATCCTACAAGAATAAAGGTCGATACTTGAAACCTTTTCCTTTTCTCACTTAACTGCTGTTGTGCATATGTGTCTATTTGAATTGAATGTTGACGACTGAATATTCTTATCCAAGGTGAATAAGCATCTACTCTATTTATTATATAAAAGTAATTTTCTAAAAATCGGTTTATGACAATCTCTTCTTAAGATTTATTTGATGAACTTATCATCCTCATAACCATCATCTATTCTTCTTCAACTGAGAGGATCTTATAAACAATAAAGAAAAAAAAGACATATATTACGATACTACCTACTGTTAAGTACGAGGTCATTGATATGACGTAGTAACAAACGTAATGAACAAGAGAAGAAAAAGAAAAAAAAAAGAACCGAAAGAACTAAAGAAGAGGGATTGACTTAAGAATAAAATGATGAAATAAAATTCTATTTACTAAGCATCGAAGTAGGTTCATCATACATGATCCACTGAAATGTGATACCTACGCGTACGTTTGAGCACATACAATGAGATGTTCACAATAGTATTACATCATCGAATCAAAGCAAAAATGCCAATCTCAATTCGAAAAATTAACTGCAATAAACTTTACTTACTTTCATATGTCTGTTTAACTATCCAATGCCAAACATGATCATAGATTTTTCTCATTGAATCAATACTATGATTATGTGTTGTCATTTTTGTTTTGTTTTATTTTTATTTCAAATAAAAATAAAAATAAAAATAATGTATATAAATATAAAATGTATCTTTTCGATCTTGTTATATTATAATGATTTTGAAAATGTCTATCATCCATTTCACATTTCAGTTATAAATGCATCAAATTTCTATTTTATTTTTCTCTTCACTCTTTTCCTCTCTCTTGTCTTTCGAACGAAAGAAAAAATTTTTAAAGAGAACAAAAAAAGACGACGACGATACGAAATGTATACAGATGCCAGTAAAAGTGTAAAGAGAACAGGGCAGGACACATAAAGGGTGACGAATATCATTCTCTCATATAATCAATCAATATGTACGAGAATGTTGGACGCAAAAGAAAAAGATTGTATGAACATTTGTGTCGCATGATAGTTCAGGATTTATTGAACAAGATTAAAGACATGAATGAATGTACATTTACAATTATCTGACCTTGTGTGTGCGTGTGTATACAATCGATGAGAGCCGCAAGGTCATTTGTCTTCTCTCACAATGACAATTTTTTTTTCTCCCTTAGTCCAACGTATCCATTTAAAACAGATGTCTGCTTGAAATAATGGATGTTATCAATCACTATTTTTTTTGTACTTCTTTTAACTCAATAAAGGTGTTGATCATATATCTATTGCTTTCTTTTTTCTTTTTTTGTTTTTCTAATATACTTATATATTATATGTCAACGAAGCATTTCAAGTCAATTACACAATAGATTGATCAATCTATTTTTTATATGAGTTATAGCAATGTCAACAATCATCCTGCACGTATTCAATCCAATGTTTTAATCATATTCTCAAGGTAATCGATGTGAAAAGCACATCTTGAGAATAAAACAAATGACTCAATGCTTCTCGTTTTTTTTTCTTTTTCTAATCTATGATACGACACAGATGTCCATTATGATTATGTATACCTACCGAAAAGAAAAATAGCTCTTAGGATTGCCATCATCATCAGCTACCATGATCAATATACTCTTTGAAAATGTAAGAAAAAAGCCGATGATAATAATGATGACATTAAAGACACAAAGAAGAAAAAAAAACTCTTATAAATAAGAAAATCAATACAAAATTTATTTAAAAGTATGTTCAGGGCAACAGGAGGTATTATATAGAAAATAATTAAAAAAAGATTGTTTTATTTTATGTTTTTTTTAAATTTTCTACCTGCTGATGTACATATCATTCGTCGACCTGTAACAAGGTTGTCGAGTGATCGTGTTACAGAAAATCGGTCGGCCAACGATGAGAGCATAACTAATGATGAAAAATAACCAAAGACACTTCACCAATGACCACAACTGTGTACTACACTTTATTTCTTATCTATTCTCGTCTCTGTCTCTGTTTGCATATATGTCTCACAGTTCAACTCTCTCTCTCTCTCTCTCTCTCTGTCTTTTTTCCTTGCTTTCTTTCTCATTTTTTTGTCACACCTTTCCCTTTTTCTCTTTCTACTTCGATTATAATCAGTTAAAGTGGTCGTGTCTTATTCAGTACTCAACATAAACTGTTCAAATAGTTAATTCAATGACCAGATGTACACTGTGTCTTCTTACCCAGTTGACGCTCTTTGACTTTTTTTTGTAAATTGTCCAAGAAAAAAAAAAGCGTTGTTATGTCTTTCTCTCACTGGAATTGTTAATAGTTCACAAGACGTCGACAACGACTGATTTAATCTTGCTCTGGTCTATACGCCGTCTTCGTCGTTAGTATATATTGGTTCTTTTATGCTCTCTTTTCTTCACATTGTCACAGACATCTTTTTTTTTCGCATTTTTTTCCTTAAGACATCGAATAATAAAATAAAGAAAGAAAGATAACGAGAACGACAACTCTATGCAAGATAAGTATCGTCGTTATTTTGTTCACTTGACCAAATGTTCATTTCTTTGCTTGCTTGCATATATACATACATACATACATGCATACATATACTTCAATTGGGAGGGAAAGTGTCTAACAAGTTGAGATTGAAATGGATGATGTGTTAAAACAAAATGGAAAAAAATCTATCAATCATCATTATCATCATCGGTCATTGTCGTTAGTTGTAGAAATAAAGAGAAATAAAAAAGATGCTTTGCAGCTGGCTTAGAGGATTGACAATTACTCATTACTCTTTAATGGAGTCCAAACACATATATATTGTGTGTGTGATTCTCTATTTCTTTTGCAAGCTTGAAGGAAGAAAGGCAAAGAGAATGATGCCATGTCTTGTTAGAGACATATAAATGGTTTTCTTCAATATTTATGCATCTAACGGAACATCCGTTCGTTGTCAAATCGACGAAGCATACGACTTTAAAGTCATTTATATAAAAAAAAAAAAACAAATCAAAATTTTGATGTTTTCTTTTTTGTTACTATACAAAAGAAAATACTGTCATTTAATGAGCATAAATTTAATAATAATGATCATTTTATTTTGAAAATGAATCTATGTTTATTTAGTCGAAACTATTTTGTCTATCATATGAACAAAATTAATATTGTTGTAAATGTCAATTTAGAATAATTTATATTAAAGAAAAAAAATATTCAAGGATTTCTTCTATCTCAAAATAATCATATCTATTGAATTATGAGGACATTATAAAAAGTATTATATTTAGAAAAAGAAAAGAAGAAAGATATTTTCATTACCTTGTTTCATTCGTCGATGATGATGATAAGATGGGTTTCTTAATACCCAAACATCGTTGACGGCTGAGGTCGTTTTTGTCATCTGATCAACTTTCATAATTTATAAATTAATGATTAATGTTACCTATCTTTATATCTTTTGAAGGAATCTAACTAATAAAGGTGTCTATCTGGTTCAGACTGATTATCATTGAAACGTATATGAAGCAAGAATCATACTAATAATCTAGATTTGAAATGAGTTATGTACAGATGACGTTTAATGATAAAATACAAAAGAGAATAATCGAAATTGTAAAAGTATAAAACAGTTATAAAGCGTTGATCAAATGTGATTGACGCAAATATACATATGTATAGGGCGGAAACTAGTGATCTCCGCCTTGTACTCGTTGTATGTGTGTATACTTCAGTCAAAGACGTAATCGAAAGAGATGATGATGATGATGATGATGTGGAAGAAGAAAAGGGAAAATCAGACTCCGTCTTTTTCCATCGTCTTTCTTTCAATAATAACAAGCATTTGTCAACTCGTGCTTATTCACTCACTCTATTTCCCCAATTGAATTAGATTCCGACAAAACAAGGTTCCGCATCTTTCTTTCTATTTCTATACTGCAAATATAGCTATCTACCGCATCATTACTACAATCACACGCTGATATCTTAAGATTTTTCATTTTATGGAAAAAAAAAAAGATAGACAGAAAGAGAGACAGAGAGAAAAGAATATATCTAAGTGAACTACACTAATATGATCCTATTTGTTTCTCTGAATATATTTAATATTCGTCTTAGAACGGTATATATGTATATATATATATATATACTAATTTACGATTGAGAATACAAAAGGAATGTAATAGGATTGTCTTATGATGAAGGTCATCAACTGCTAGAGAAACTAGTAAAGAAGGCGGAGGCAAGAGAAAAAAGTCGACAATATAAATAGTGGCATCATACATGAACATGTGGTCGAACTAATTTGAACATACACACATATAGATATGAGCATTGAATGATCAACGCGAGAGTAATAGGGTACAACGAAGAGAATGTGGACATCTGCCCAAGTCAATTATGGCTATCGAAGACGGTCTCATATTCTTTCTGTTGTTCACTTGACCATGCTGTATTTATGTGTATAGAATGAGAAATATCATCATGAGACTTGTTGTAAAAAGTAGCGGTCACCCGCCGTCAAAGTAATTTGTCGCCCTACTGAAAATAGTCGATGGCGGCGGCTCTCATTGTTTCAACATGAAGTGTCACCGAACTGAACTAAAAGAAAAAGAAGAAAAGAAAAGAAGAGAAGAGAAGAGAAGAAAGATTAGTAAAGACGATCATATATATAACATGCGAGCAGTCGGTTAAGCGCCCTCCAAGTGTTTGAAAGTTCCATAGCACATACACAAACAAATGTCTATTGACGTATGTTTGCAATAACACGCACACCGGCTCCGGTGACAAATACAATCTCATGTACATTCATACATTCAATAGTAAGATCAAACAATAATAATAATAATAATAGAGAATAGATTGTAATAATGATGATGATGACAGTTGCGACCATCAAACAAAAATTGTTGAAGAAGTGAACGAAAGTTCGAGGTCGATTAATAAGCAATGGAAAAACACAAAAATGATCTTTTTATGAGCTTAGTTTTACTTTATTAGCCTTTAGTGCATAAAAATTAACATTTTCCCCACCCGTCAAAAAGATAAATATGTCTAATGTATTTTGGTAATGGGATAATTCTACAAAAAAATTCTTCTTTCATGATGCATGAGGAAAGAAACATAAGTGTCGTAAGAGTACGATTAAATTTCCATTAATCTTTAATCATATCCGATGAGATTTTTGCAAGTACTGATTAATTTCAATTGTGACATATATTTAAATATTTCTAATATTACTTAGTTTTTCATAATAGATTTTATATTTATATACGAAAACAAAAGAATATGTATAGATATTCATTCTTTTCTTGTTTCTTACGAACGACATAATCAATAATTAGTTTTATTTGTTGATATTTTCTAAATATCCATATTGTTAGACAAGAGAAAAAGAGAGAATACACAAATCAGTATGTAATTGAATGTTTGCCTTCACTCTCATATTCTGGAGGTTTCATTGTGCAATAGTCCATATGTATTCTACTAATAAACGTTTAAATAAATGCTAATATTTATTCAATAGTAGTCAATCGAACCTCTTATTAATACTAAAATTCTGGTATTATACATTTCTTTCTCTTATATGTATGGTAATTATATTTATATATAAACTGTATTACTTACGGATAGATGATGTTTCAA